CCTTCCTTCCTTCCTTCCTTCCTTCCTTCCTTCCTTCTTACCTTCCTAATCTGTTCCAAGGGATGGCTCTCTGGGAAATGAAAGTAATGGAAAAACAAAAGAGATCCAGAAATGGTGTAATCATGGAGCTGTCTTCACTCAGCCCCTTCCACACTATGTCTTCATTCTGTTCTTTTTCCAACTAGTTGGGAAACAGTGCTACACAAAGGGGGAGAGTGAGGAGGGATAGCATTCCTGGCATGGAGAACAACCAGTTCAAAGGTCCAGAGGTGGAAGATGGAGTGTATGAAGATCAGCAGGAAGGTCAGTTGGACTGTATTGTAGAGTGTCTGGAGTGAGGTAGAATTAGGCTGGAATGGAAGGTTGGGGCCAGGTTGTAAAGGACTTTCAATATGAAACAGAAGAATTTCTACTTGATCCTAAGCAGTAATTGAAACTTATTGAGGAAAATTACTTTGGAAGACAGAGCAAAGGGGTCAAAGGAGGGGATAGGGACTGGTCTCCCAAACTGCAGCATGAGAAGGGGGCTTTCAGGGATATTTCAAGAGTTTTCTCTAAGCGGATTTTCCTGATTTTATCCCGCATTTCAACTAGGTCAATCATTGTTTTTTTTTTTTTTTTTAAACCATTGCAACATGATAATAAAATCTAAGGTAATAGAAGGAATCTGCAGCAACATCTTCAGTGATGGCATGGAGGTAGCCCATTTCCCAAAGAACCATCTCCAGAGGCATGGAGGGACTGTGATCTACCTTGGTGGATGGGCTGCTCACACTGACGATACCATGAATCTTTTGAAGGACTGAAGGAAGCTGGACAGGCTAATTGCGCTGGCCCTGGCTTCTCGATGAATTTTTTCTCTCTCTTTCTCTTTCTCTGTCTCTGTCTCCTTCTATTTCTGGGTCCCTCTGTTTCTGTCTCTCTGTCTCTCTCCATCTGTCTCTCTGTCTCTCTCCATCTGTCTCTGTCTCCATCTGTCTCTCTGTCTCTTTCTCTTCTGCCTCCTGGCTCAGCTCCAGTCTTCTCCACCTCATGCAGGGGCTACAGTGCATTTTCTCTCACACTCCTACAACTCACAACTTCTAATTCCATTCACTTAGATCCAGAGACCTTGCCAGTCCGCCCACTGGCACCACCTTGGAAGGCTGATGAATCCCACTTGAATCCCAGGTGCCCCCTCATTCACTCCAAAAGCCCAGCAATCTCTCTCCTATCACTTACTATGGGGAATTTGCCCTTTTAGGATTGAAAATTTAGGAACAAGGAGGCAAAAGCCTTTGGAGAGCTGTATGCTTTGTTCTCTGTTCTTAGGGAACCCTTCAGTGGGTGAAGAGCAAGGTGTCATCTCCTCCCCAAGCTCTTCACCTGACAGCAAGCAGAAGAAAATCGCAAGTAAGCCTATTCCCTGGGGACTGGTGGGTAAGGAGGCAGCGCCCACGAATGCTTGTGCAGGGCCCATTAGGATGATTGCTCTGTGCCTCTGACCAACCTGTGTATTTTTTCCATTAGTGATTTGCTGACAGTCTGGAATGACATCTCTAGTGGGGCACCCCTGGGGTGCTTGACTCTGTGCTGTCTAATGTTCTTATCAGTGCTATGGATGAAGGCAAAGAGAGTGGGCTTGGCAAAAGTGCCCCAAGCTGGATAGGAGAGCTAGCACACTGTGCAGGCTCAGCTTCCAAAGAGATCTTGACAGGCTAAAACGTTGGGCTAAATTTAATGGGATGAAATTCATTTGGGATATGTATAAAGTCTTCTGTTTACATTCCAAACATCAACTTCATAAGGATTAGATGAGGGAGGTGAGGTTAGACAGCAGCAGGCCATTTTAGGACAGACATTGAAAGAGGGCAATCAGGATGATGGAGGCCTTTGAGATCATGACATATGAGAGTTGACTGAAGGAACTGATAATATTTATCGTGAAGAAGAGATCGGGGGAGATGATCTCTATATGTAAGGATTTCAAGACCATTGCATGGAAGGGGGCCTTGATTTATTGTGGGTAGAGTGGGGTTTGACACCAGGGACCCCAATGAGAAGCATTTAGGGTGGAAATTAGCCAGAGGCAGATGATAAAAAGGAAAAAAAAGTCTGAACAATTTGATCTGTCCCTAAGTGAACTGGGTTGCATTAAAATGTGCTGGGTTCCCAATCACTGGATGTCTGAAAGCAGAGGCAGTATGACGTCTCGTCAGCAAAGATGAGGATTCCCATCCAGCTGTTATGGGTTGGAATGGATGCCAACTGAGGTCTCTCTCAGTTCTGTGGCCATATGGCTCTAACGTTAGAGATCGGTAGGGCTAAAAAGAATCTTAAATTCCATCTAGTCCAACCCATTTCTTGTACAGATGAAGAAACTGAGGCCAGGAAAAGTCAAGTAACTTATCCAAAGTAACTCCTCACATGTGCCTTCCTCCCAACTTCTAATGATTTGATTTCCTTCCCTTGTCTATAGGAGAGAGCAGTCAGGGAGTGGCCAGATTCAATAACATCTGGGAGCTGAAGCTGCACCAAGAAGATGACCTGAGCTTGGAAGCCTCGTGCCTAGAGCAGTACTGGGAAGCAGCTGGTGAGGCTTATGCTGAGGTGGCCAAGGACCAAAGTTCTCAAGATTCTAGGGGAACTGAGCCAGAGTTGTCCTTCCCTTTTGTCTGGCCTGACGAGGCCCCATGCCCCTCAAGGCCAGAATCCCGTAATCACTACCAACCCTTCAAGCATTTGGGGAAGGCAAAGCAATTAGGTCCCAGACGGAACAATGAAGAGTCCTGTGTTCCAGAAACAGGGATGGATTGTGCCGGCCGCACCGTGCACTCTCCTCCTATAAGGAGCAGGCTGCCAGGGTCATACTATTTACCAGTCTTTGGAGCCTACCCGGATAAACACACAGAGACGAGCCCATCGGGAGGTGCCAACACTGGAGCTTTATTCAGAGGCCATCACAGCAAGGCCAAGCAGGAAGGCCATAGCAAGAGAGCAGGAGCAAAGAGAGAGCGAGCTCCGACCACTACCGTTCCTTAAGTACCTACTTAGCCCCTCCTCCTCAGCCCACCTACTAGTCATTGATTGTAGGATCAGATACCGGAAGGGGATGTCTGGGTTTAGCGCACCAAGGGAGAGGAAGTGACGCAGGAGGCTAGGACCAGATACAGGAAGGAGGCGTCTGGGATTAGCACATAGACAAAGGGAGAGTATGTGACCTAGGAAGTCAGGCCCAGATACCGGGAGGAGGCGTCTGGGGTCAGTGCTACACAAAGGGAAAGTACGTGACCCAGGAAGTCAGGAAGGACACAGGAACGAGGTGTCTGGGGTTGACATTGCACTTAGGGAGGGGGCTAGACAAAGGAACTCGTTCTCTGCCGTCCCACTCCCACGTGGCACAGCCCCCTGCCTCAGGAGCACGTGCTCCGGCTACTTCCTTGTATTCTGTTCCTTCCCCAGCTATCACAGCTCCACATAGCACTGCCCACTGCCTCAGGAGCGTGAGCTCTGGTTACTTCTCCGTATCCAGTTCCCATCCCAGTTCACCACAACTCCGCCTAGCACAGCCCGAGCTCTGGTCACTTCCTGATATCTTGTTCCTACCCCATCTTGCCACAACCGTCACTTGGCAGTAGCCAACATCAGACAGTCCCTCACAATGGATGATGAATCTGATAGAGAGCAGACCAGTGAGGAGCGCAGACTCATGGAGATGGAACTGGGCAAATGCATTGAGGATTTTCGCAAAATCAAGATCCCTTGCACTTTCCCTAACAAAAAAGACCATGGCAGAGTGAACTTCTCCAAAAATACCACATCTGAGGACAGAGGGAAACCTCAGTGCCTGCTACCACCAATCCCATGCCAATCCAATCTGCTGCCATGATGAAGGCCCTTGGAATCATCCGCCTCTCTTTTCAGTGTCTTCATGATGGGGGTGGGGTGGGGGGTGGGGGGTGGGGGTGGGGTCAAGATCTTTTCTGAATGTACAAGCTGATTTCTACATTACCCATGGACAGTTTCTTACATTGTGGTCATGTTGAAATAAACTTCCCCACTCCCCCCCCCCCATATGGTGTCATCACTTATCTCCTTAATATGATGATGTGAATTCTAGAAGGCTAGAGACTGAAGGGATTTTAGACACAATTTAGTCCAACTTGCTCTTTTTTATGTAAGAGGAAACAGAGGCTTGAAGAAGGGTTATGGATCTTGAATATCACCTGATTCAACCCCCTGATTTTACATGTGACCCAAGGCCCTGGGCTCACATGGACCAGGGGCCGGTCTTGGTGTTTGGCTTGTACTGGCCCCACTTCGAGTTTATTCTGGGAAATCTCCAAATATAGCTCATGGCTAGGTACCCACAAATATGGGCAACAGAGTCCCCCAGGTTCATTTCAAAGTACTCATTGTTGCCTATAACAGACTTTATTTGACCTCAGAAGGAATATGAAGGAACCCAGAAACAATTCAGAAACACATAAAGGACTCCAAGTTGTGAGCAGTCAATACAATTCTTCACAATCAGCACCTAAACCGTGTTTGGACTCCATTCAGAAGGAAAATGAACCCACTGTCATCAGTGGGCTAAGACCCAATATTGCAATGAGTCTCTCTTTCCCAAAAGGTCCTAAAGTCACCCAAGAATTCATAATGCCACCCTGTGGTTTGTTATACTCCTGGAAAGGCCCACCCATCCTCCTTCTATTCCAGTGAGTCACTCTTTCATCCCGGAACGGAACTAGACTTGAGTCTCTCTGTCTCTCTCTGCTCTCTCTCCCCCCCACCGCTCTCTCTGTCTCTTTCACATCTATATCTGTCTATGTGCCTGTTTACTCTCTATATACTATCTATATCTCACTTCTATCTTTCTATATATATTCAACCTCTGTCTATCTATCTCCACATCTCTATCTCTTAAGCAAGTAATACAAGTGTTTGCTAGTAAATGTTTAACAACCAGCCTTCCTGGGAAAAAAAATACACAGTCACACATACTTTTAAGTTAATCTGCATTATTAAGCCTTTCTTGTCAATCAATAATACAATAAATTAAACCTTGGATCGCCTATTTCTGATGTGTAAATGCTTGCACTGAACATTTCACTTTTGCTTCTTATCAGCCAGTTAGAGCTGACTCCAACACACCCTTGACTGGAAGCAATAGGGACTGGTTCTGTGATTTCATTGGTCCAGGGAACCCCCAGGTGAGGCCACTCCCTCTTTCAATGCAGCTAAACACCTTCTCTATTAGCTTCAGTGTGTGCTGGAACCCTAGGTATTCCTAGCTCTGAGGCCGGCTCTCTAACCATTAGGGCTCACTGCCTTTCAGGAACAATTGAGAAAACTGGAAGGCAGTTTAGATGAAATTAGATTTAGACCCTTGTCTAATATACCACAACAAACTCAAAATGGGTACATGATCTGAAAATAAAATGGTTACATTATTTAAAAATATTGGAAAAGAATGAGGTCAGATCGTGAGGTTTTATAACCTTCTTGGCTAGGGAGAAAATTCTTTTTTTAAAAAATTAAATTAATTTTAGTTTTCAACATTCACTTCCACAAGATTTTGAGTTCCAAATTTCCCTCCATCTCGTCCCTCCCCCCACCCCAAGATGGCATGCATTCTGAACACCCCTTCCCCTAATCTGCCCTCCCTTCTATCTCCCTCCCTTCTCTTATCCCCTTCCCCTTCTATTTTCCTGTAGGGCAGGATAGATTTCTGCACCCCATTTCCTGTATTTCTTATTTCCCAGTTGCATGTGAAAACAATTTTTTTAACATTTGTTTTTAAAACTTTGGGTTCCAAATTTTCTCCCTTCCTCCCTCCCCACCCACCCTCATTGAGAAGGCAGGTTAGGAGGAAAATTCTTGACCAAACATGGGCTGGAGAAAATGGTAAAACACAAGATGGACAATTTTGACTACTGAAATAAAGCTTTTGCCTGAAAAAAAACAAACAAACCACGAAAACAGCAAAAAGCAGAGAAACTGTTGAGTGGGAAAAAATGGTCTCAACTATCAGTGATATGAATCTACTTTCCAGGATATATAAGAAAATGACCCGGGTCTACAACACCAAGAGCATCCTTAACAGATGAATGGTCAGAAGGTAGAAATGCATACATTTCAGCAGTAAGAATGGCTGTGTGCAAATATCCTTTGAATCCCCTCATAGTGAGAGAAAGCGAATTAAAACTATTCAGATTTCAGCCCATCCTGTGCCCATTGGCCCCAACGACGAAAACCAGGGCTGGCCCATGTTGGAGGGGCCGAGGGCAGACAATGCTGGGGAACCTGATATGTGACTAAATTGTCCACACTCTTTGACCCAATGATCCCACTACTGTCAAGGAAGTCAAACACAAACATGTAGCGGCAGTCTTTGTGGCAGCAAAGAACTGAAAGCAAAGTGGCTACCGCCCACTAATTAGGGAGCCACTAAACAGATTGAGGTATAGGAATGTACTAGAATGTTGTTGGGCAGGCGAGAAATTTGGAGAAACATTAGCAGAGCCCGATAATATTTATAGAGTGCCTACTATGTGCCAGGCAGTGTGCTAAGCACTTCACAACCATGATCTCGTTCGATCCTCACAACCACCCCAGGAGGTTAGTGCTGTTATGATCTCCATGTTACAGCTGAACAAAATGAGGCAAATGTGGGTTAAGTGACTTACCTAGGGTCACCCAGCTAGTAAGTGGCTGAACTCAAGTCTTGCTGACTCCAGTACCCTCTGTCTGAGGAAGGAACTGGGGCTCCTTTACGTCCAAGACAGAGGGGGGAGTCCGGGATGAGGTCCTCTCCCTCTTCATCCTCCTGTAGTAATGGGTATTTCCCATCCCATCCCCCACCCTTTCCTTGCTCTGTCATGCCATGCCTTGCCATGGTGTAGCTCAAGGAACAGACTGTGTGCACTTGATGGGCAGACCAGGCCACACACAGCATTGAAATGAAGAAAAACAATAAACCCCAACTCCAACCCTGGAAACAGCAATGATGAAATAAATGGCTTGAATAAACTGTGTGGTACATTCACGTGAAGGGAGGCACAGAGCGGAAAAAGCAGGACTGGACCAAGAAGAGAAGAAATGGGTGAGGAAGCCAGATGGAAACTTCTAGGGGGTGACTGCAAAACTGCCATGACATCCTATGCGCTAACATGAATTTATGTAGAGTTGCGAACATTTTTTAGCCAGTTGTCTGGATGATTAATATTGAAATTATGTTATAAATTCCTTTCTTTTAAAAGGAGCTGAATGAGGGAAGTGTTCCAGTCCAGCTACCATCAACAAAGCCCACGAATACACAGGGCAGCACCCGTCCCAGAATCAGGGAATTCCAGGGATACAGTCCAAGGTACAGTTAGAGAAAACACTGTCTTTAGCATCCCAAGGAGTGGTGGGCTGGGCTGATTCCGGATTCCCAGGGACAGAAATACCACAAGACTCATCTCTAATCTAACTATGGGGCTTATTAATAACATAAAACCCCCATGGAAACAAAGGATACAAGGAGACCTGTGCCACATTTGAGTTCTGTTCTGGGAAAAGAAGCTTCCCACAGAATCCAAGAAATTGGCTCTCTCCGGAACTCTAGACCAATCAGAGTCTCTCCTCTCTTGGAGATAGGCAAGGGAAGGACGGAACACTCAGCTGTGGCCATCTTCCTGCTTTTCACAAAAGGGGAAACTGTGGTCTCTGAAGAGGAGGGGACCAGACCCCAGATCAAATGTTGACCAATGCCACACACAGGTCCAAGCTGTCTTCATGTTAGACAGCTACCACACCTACATAGATGTTCTATACTTACTCATATGCACACATGGTCCCCCCTCCCCATAAGAAGGGTAGAGACTATTGCCTTTGTATGTCCCAGT